TGAGCAAGGAGGCTGAGGGCAGCCCCGTCAGGTAGAAAGGGCGGCGGGGGACGGGGGCAGGCCGTGGGCACACCTGGAGGGCGGCCCTGCCCGTCTTCCTTCCTCTGCTGAGCCGGACAGGTGCACCTGTGGTTCTCCAAATCGAAACCAGCCCAGACCTCTTGTTTTCCCTCCTTCTGTCTTCCCGGCCCCCAATCCCACCGCCCCGCCGCCCCCCCGCACACACACACACCCAGGCTCAGCTCCAGGCCCACCTGCCACAACCACAAGGTTGTTGTGGCTCCTGGCTCCCGGCACTGGAGGTGACAAGTCGAGTCCTCTGTGTCCCAACCTCCCTGTTTGAAGCGTGCGTATCTGGCCCCTTCTGTGCCATCATTTCACGTTTAAAAACATCAGAACACAGGGGTGCCTAAGTGGCTCAGTCAAGCGTCCAAACCCTTGATTTCGGCTCAGATCATGATCTCGTGGCTCCTGAGTTCGAGCCCCGCGTCAGGCTCTGTGCTGACAGCACAGAGCCTGCTTGGGACTTTCTCTGCCCCTCCCCCACTTGTGCTCTCTGTCTCTGTCTCTGTCTCTCTCTCAAAATAAATAAATAAACATTTAAAAAAATATCTCAGAACACAAAATTAGACCTGATTCCCATTGCACAACGTACATTACATCGCGTGGTTCTCAGCTGCCTGCCTGTCCTTTACATTTGAGACTGTCTCTTCTCTGGCCCCCACGGGGCCCAGAGCGTGCACGGGGGCATAAACTACGTTAGGAGGAGCTCCCCCGTTTGCAAAGTGCTGCGACTCACATAACTCATTTGAGCCTCACGGTACCAGGCAGGGAAACTGAGTCTCTCAGCGAAGTGACCTTGCCCAAGGTCACGCACCTAGTCATTTGGAATGCTAGGTCTGCGTCCCCGGGTTTCTAAACTCTGAGACTATGGCTCTTGGGCACCTCGGTATATTGCTTCTCAAAAGTGCATCTACGGGGGGCGGGGGGGGGAGGGAAAAAAACAAACAAACAAACAAACAAACAAAAAAACAACTCTTGCTGGCAGAGTGAGGTCCTCATAATATACATACTCTTAATTTAAGTGCATTTAGTTACATATACTGTTGGCAAAATAAAAGAGGAAAACAAGAAAAATAATAATAATTTCAAGCGTGCATGACGATCGTTCTTGCTTTTTTCACTCCAGAGGGTATTCCCAGAAAGGTCTCAACTAGAAAGCCCAGAGCTGCTGTTCCCCCGACTGTGTCTCTTCCCAGGTGGGTGTCCAGGAGTAAATATCTCGCTCTCCTCATGTGAGCATAACGCTCAGGGAGAGAGATCGCGCTGTGCCAAAGCCCCACTGCAAGGCTTAACGGAAGAAACGGAAATCTGCTCCAAGGCTCCAGAAGACAGGCCAGCGTTGGATTTGGTAAGTGCTGACACCGATTACACACATACCAAGTGCTTCACGGCTTTTAACCCACTTGGTCTCCCGAAAGCCATTTTGCGGATGAGAAACGAGGCTAAGAAAGGTCGATCACCAGCCAGCAAGCTCGAGAGTTAGGCTTTGAACCCTAAGAGGGAGTCCGCATCATCTGCTCCCGTAACCGTAACCGCTAACGTGCAGTCAAGATCCTAATCTCTGCACGAAACACGTGGCCACCACACGGAGCCCCCACCCAGCTCCAGCCCTGACCACAGACGGGTGGTGCAGGCGACCGAGACCCCTAAGGGACAGTGAGAAAAAACCTTTGGGAGCAAGCTGTGGGTTAGGAGACGGCTCCAAAGCCAGGCACAGGCGCGGCCTTACTGGTATGTGCTGGGTAAGGTGATCGTTCTATTAGAGGGGACCGTGCCTGTCTCTGCAAGACGCAGAGTGTATTATGACAGCAGGGTGCTGCAAGGGGTGAAATCACAAGAAAAGGCAACGGTGATGAATCCAGATCGGGCCCAGGGATTGCTGACTTTGTTGGCACACCACTGAGTTACACGTTCATCCTAACTTCTTGTCACTAGTGAAAGTCACGGGGGGCCGTGGTCGTCTTATGGGAAGGTGGGTGGTTTTGCTGCTTGTAATGGCAGAGTACCGCCTCCAGGGGGCACTCCGAACTCCCCTACGCTCCACCTGAGGGAGGGATGGGGTGGGTCCAGGACCCCCACAGGAGGAGCCGGCCAGCTACGGAGAAGCCTTGAATACCAAGCTAAAACACCCGGATGGAGACCACACTCCGAATTCTCCTCCACATTAGGAGACACAAGGGTCCGGATTTGTGAGTCTCCTCCTCACATTGCTTACTAAGACCAATGAGCCAAGTCCAGATGATGCAATGTGCCTTCACCGTGATGTCTGTGGCCCAAGCTGTAACTACAGGCTCTCTTGTCTTCAGGTTTAGTGTCATTACGCATAACAGCTCCATTCACCAAACACCCGTATTATGTTGTTAGGTATCATAGGCCCCATTATACAGACGAGAAAACTAAGGCTCCAGGAAATCAGAACTGGTAAGTGGCAAAACTGGGGCTTGAGCCCTGGCCCTGTGGCTCCCGCACACGCCCCCTATGCTGGTTTCACGCTGGGTCCCACATATTTGGCCACGGCTTGCTTCCTTTCACAGGCTGGGCGCCCGACCAATGCGAACAGCAGGGCCATGAACTGCCCGCTAAGGAGTAATCAAGTCCCAAATGGCCGGAGGAACAAACTCTGCAGACTTAGCTTGAGGAGAACGCCCTGTCCTGTCAAAACCCAGCCTGCTTTCACGCTGAACCCTGGGTCTAGAAGGCTCCGCCCCGCTGAGTGTTTATTGAAATCCTACCCTCCTCCCAGGCTTGGCTCGGGTGCCAGCTTCTGAGACGCCTTCCCTGGCCCTGCCGGCCGGAATTCCTCCTGCTCTGTGCTCCCGTGAACCTGGCGGCTGGCAGGGAGCAGGCCCACCCGCTCACATTCTGCCTGGACCTCCTGTGGGCAGGGGCCAGGTCTCACCCTTCCCTCGGCGCCCCGCAGGGCTCGGCATAGACTCAGGGCCTGGAGGTCGAGTCCACGGTCTGTGGCAATGCTGACGGCCAATGCGGATGGGGCCAAGTTAACAGGTGCCTCCAAGGGCTCACAGCGCTGCCAGCTGCCCTCTCCCAGCCCCAGGAATGAAAGCGCCCCACAGCGGCTGAGCCGCTTGCTCCCTTCCAGAAGCTGCCAGCCTGGCCCGGACTCCAGCAGCAGCTCTGGCCTGGCCCATCTTACGGCCTCCTGCTCACCCCTTCCGGCGTGCAGTCGGTCCGCCTGAGTGTCTGCCCCAGTTCCCTGCTTTGCGCTCCAGCCCTGCTCTGCTGAAGCCTGACTCTGGACCTGGCCTTCCTCTGCCCTCGTGGGCTGGTCCGGGCCTCAGCCTCGCCAGCAGCAGCAGGAGGCCAGCCTTCCCACTGGAGCCGGCCAGGTTCCTGGTATCCCCTTGCTACAACCACCCTCAGCCCAACAGGCCAGGTTCCTCCAGACGCGGGCACAAACCTGCACCAAGCCCAAACGTCTGGGCCCCTTGAGACCTGGGGGAGGACGCCCTGGCCCTGCCGGAGGCAGGGCAGAGGCTCCAGGGTCCAGTAACCACACACCCCACCCCCCACGGGCCTTTCACTCGCTTGCGGGGAGGCCTCCCCACCTCCTCCCTCCCCTCCCCCCGCCCCCCGCCCCCCAGGGCAGAAAGTCGCACAGCGGGTGCCACGCTGCTTGGGCCTTTGGAATCAATCACTCAGGGCAGGGAGGGGGCTCAGAAAGTTATGGAATGAAAGGGGACAAGAGGTGGCTTCGGAATCCTTGAATCCTTTCGGTGACTTAATTAGAATGAGCCTTCAGGCTCCTTGAGCGGTGGCTGACCAGCATCTCGCGATCTTACATACGCCCCGCTGTATATTCTGGATCTTCTATCATGAACGTGCTTTTGTAATCAGGAGAAAATAACTAGGGGCACCTTTGTGGCTCGGGTGGTTGAGCGTCCACCTATTGTTCTCTCTCTCCTTCTCTCTCTGCCCCTCCCCCCCTCTTTCTCTCTCAAAATAAAAAAGGAAAAATAACTAACAACCAAAACATACAAGCAGAGAACGGATATTGTCAGAGCGTCCTCAGATCACAGTGTCTACAGGGTGCCCAGGATACAAGAACAGGGGTTGTGCTGGCCCCAGGACACCAGCTTCCTGTCCCCTCCTCCCGCCAGCCCCTGAGCTACTGTGGACAGGTCCCAACTTCACGGCCTCAGTTTCCTTGACTGTCAAATAGAAATAACAGTGTGTGCACGGGCTGTACAAAAGAGATGCCCACAATTAGAAATCCCATGACCTGGGGCGCCTGGGTGGCTCAGTCGGTTGAGCGTCCCACGTCAGCTCGGGTCATGATCTCACGGTTCGTGGGTTCGAGCCCCACGTCGGGCTCTGGGCTGACAGCTCAGAGTCTGGAGCCTGCTTCGGATTCTGGGTCTCCCTCTCTCTCTGCCCCTCCCCTGCTCAAGCTCTGTCTCTCTCTCAAAAATAAATAAACGTCAAAAAAAATAAGAAAAAGAAAAAAGACCTGCGACCCAGGGTGGTAGAGGCTGTGGGTCCCTAGAGTGGATATGGGAGAGCATCATGGGAAGCACAGAAGAGGGAGGTGCACTTCTCAGTCAGAACAGGGCTGCTCTGTGTGAGAGAGACAGTCCAGGAACGGAAACAAGACGCAGCCATCGGGATCCCCAACCACCCACAAAACCAGTCTACTCCATCTGACTGTGGGTGCCTGAGGTCTTCACGACACTCCTTGGGGGAGGCCCCATTCCTGTCCCCAGCCTGCCTGTTGAGAGAGGGTCACGGGGCAACCTCGGATAACTCCTCCGCAAGCACCTGTCCACGGTTGGATGGAAAATGTCCACCCAGGGGGCCAGCCACAAAAGGGGGCAGGGGTGGGGGCAGAACCCAGGCCCCCTTTCTTGGTCCAGCGCCCCCACCGCGTTCCAGCCTGAGCTCCCAGCAGGGCCTGCTGCCCCGGAAGGGAAGGGGACGGCTTGAGGATGCAGGTGACTGGAGTGACAGGTGACAGGTGCTTCGGGGAGCCAGCAGCCTCGTGCGTGCCACACCTCTCACTCTATTTCCTAGGAAGCGACAGCCCCGGGCTCTCTCTGCTTCCAAGGCCTACAGAAACTTCCAGACCAGCCCCAGCCTTCTGCAGCTGAGGACAAGAAGCAGAGCATCCCGGGTGTCCCAGATGCCATTCGGGGTGGCTGGTTAACGCCTTACCCTCCCTGCAGCCAAACCCCCGGCCTCTGGAAGAGACAGCAAATCATGAAGTCTAACCCAGGCCACACGCTCAGTGCCCACTTCTACTTGGGGTTATCTGAGACCCCCTCTTCTCCTGCTTTGCGGCTTTCACGGAAAATAACTACTTTGAACCAAAGCCCTAGCATCTAGGTGGAGCCCCAAAAGGGCAGGAAGGTACCGCCCCTGGCTTTGGAGGCCAGTGGGGGCCCACAGCACATCCATCACAGCCCCGGGGACACAGCGGTTCAATGACTGCCCTGGGCCGGCCACGTCAACACCCGCCCGCACACAAACCGTGAAAGACAACACAAGTTCCCAGCAACCCTGCCGGCCGAGCAGGAAGCCCTCAAAACGCCCTGCGTCCAGGTCTCCAGGATCACAGCAGTCACTGCTCATTTTCCACCCGCGGCAAAGAAAAAAGCCTTTAACTCTTGGGTAAGTTCTAAAAGCTCTTCTATAAACTCAGTCTCCGTGTCGCGGGAGCCCCTGGGGAGCAGCTGGCCCCATCACTCGCTGGCAGAAATGTCCCCAACCTAAGTGAGCCCCTCGGGGCACAGACCATCCCGTGCCCCACCAGCACTCCCAGTCGGGGGCACGGCGCACAAATAGCCGTGCCCTGGCCCGTACCCTTACCCATGACCAAGGCGAATCCGGGGGGCTCTTGTCCTGTGGGGGCTCCCAGGTGGACCCACCACGGTCCCGCTCCTCCATGGCCCGGCCCGCGGGATGCCGGCCACCTCCTCGCCCAGCCCGGAGAGCAGTGTCCCAACGTGGCTGATTTCACCCTCTCGGGAGCTGGGAGGCAGTGGGGGGTGGGGACATGTAGCCCAGAGCAGGCGGCTTCCCTTTACAGCCAGGAGCCCGGGCCAAGTCACAAGGCTCAGGAAAAGAGCAGGGTGTTGAATTGCAAATCCTCTCCCACCTGGGGCCTGGCTAACAAACAGCTGGAGATATGGCCTGTTCCCTGAAGGATGCAGAGTCCCAGGGCTCGCCAGTTTGTGTGAGCTCCCGGGGAATAGCCTGGTGGGACCCATGACCCCTGCTGGCGGCCGCCGGCCACGCTGTATCCATTCCCCAGCAGGTGTTGGAGAGACCACCTCACAACCAGCGCGCAGAGAGCGGCGGGGGGGGGGGGGGGGAGCTTTCTCCCTACTCCTCCAGGCCTCGGCACACTTGGGGAAGGCTGGGTTCCGGGGCCCCTCCCCCAGAGGCCACCACTGTCCCCTCTATCACGCGCAGTAGCAGCAGGCATCATGACAGCTGGCTGGTTTCGAACACTCCCCCCGCACCAGGAAGCTAAGCACTCCAGCCGCACTCTGGTGTACATTGTGCACAGCCACCCTATAGGGTCACGGACACAAGACAGGAGCTTCAGGAACGGCCTTGGGTCACAAAGCAAGAAGTGGCAAAAAGCAGGGCCAGGCTGACTGCAAATCCGGTGCTGGAACTGTAGTTCTGATCCTACCAGGAGCCCTGGGTCCCTGGCCATGGGCTGGGCTCACATGAGCCCCGGGTTTAGAGGAAACTGCAGCAGGGAGGGAGGGAGGGCAGGGCTGGGGGCAGAGGGCGCGCCCTGCAGGAGCGGGTGCCGGGGCTCTGACCTGGTCTGACAGGGACCTCGAGATCCCACCCAGAGAGAAGGGGTGGCCCCCTGGGGGCGCAGCAGGGCCAAGGAAGGGCTTTAGAAGAGCGACAAGTCAGGATCCCCAACTCAACTCTTACCACGGAGGACTCCCCCCCGCCCTCCACGCCCTGGTCGTCCTCGTGTCCCCGCAACGGGTGACCGGTGACCGTGACGCTAAGGCCAACCACCCCGTGACCTCTTTCAGCTCCATTTCTGCAACTCCTCCCCGGCCAAGGCTTCTCTGGTTTCGCCCTTCACAGCCTTCTCCTTCCCTCCAGACAGGACCCCGACCGAGAGCCCACCTGGGCCGGTAGGTGGAGAGTAGCCCGGTTTAGAACACAGGACAGGTGTGTCCTAGCTAATGCAAGGGGCGTCACTGCGCCTCTGTTTACGAGCTCCGGGGGCAGTGGCTTCCCCAGGGGAGGGGCAGGGAGGGACTCGGCCCCCCGGCCTCCTGCGTCTAGATCACCACCATTCTGGCCACACACGTGCCCCTGGCCCTGCTCGCCCTGGAGAGGCGTGGAGAGGGCCAGGGAGGGACCACTGCGCAGCCCCAGAGCCTAGTGCCACCCCCCACCTCCCGCCGTCTGAATGCCCTGAATGCCACTAACTATAAGGGGGTGGGAATAACGCATTAAGACACTTCCATGAGCTGGGTCACCACCACCCTTACTATTTTTAATTCATCCTGTCAAGATATTTTAAGAACCTCATGACCAACGAGTGATAAGATTGTGAGTAATTATACCTGGTCGTGTTTAGCACTTAGTCGGAAATCTGATAGAGGTCCAGGACGGCACAGGCAGAAGGTGCCGTGAACACGGCAGACCGATGTCGCTGCATTGATTGGGAGGGCGCAGCCCTGGGGACCCTCCGGGAGGAAGGAGCCAGGCCGGGGTCCTCAGGAGCTCCGAGCCCGGGCCATTTCACGCCCCCGCGGGCAGTGCCCCGTGTTGGCGGCGGGAGGTCCGGCTGGCACGTGTCTCGCCGCGGAGGGCCAGCACCGGTTTGGCTGGTAGTTCTAGAAGCACCCATGTGAGCGCCGCCCACAGAGCTCCCGGAAGCGGAAGCCGGAAGCCCCGCCCCCTGAATCACACCCACCTGGGCTCTGGGTCTGACCCTCCCCTTAGAAGCGATTCTGCCTCAAGGCGATTCACGCAGCCTCCCAGGAGCCTTTGTTTCCTTATCTGGGAAACACAGGGATGCAAACAGAGTCTCTCCCTCATGCGGTCGGTCGTTGTGGGGACACCTGGGGCCTTGTGCGGCTCCACACAAGGCCTGGCATGTGTTAGACTCTCAAACAGAAGTAGCAACTATTACTCCTCACAGTAACTTTGAGGTTGGCATTAATGGGCCCGTTTGACAGATGGAGAAACTGAGCCTGTGTGTATTTTGGGCTTCTGTCAGCTGCAGACTGTCCAACATTTCCTACTCTACAGCTCCTGAGACCCCATCAGGGCCGTGGCCAGGACCAAGCTGAATTTCCCCAGCTGTGAAGAATCCACAGGCTGTCCCCTTTCCCCCAGGCTGCCAGGCACCTGTTAACCCCCCCAAGAACACCGTGGATTCTCCCATTCCCATTTTCCCTTAGCTCATGCTGTCACCTCTTCCCGGAGTGCCTTTCCTCTCCTCTGTTCCTTTTCAAATGTGTCCCCTTTCTAGGCCCACGCCAGACCTCCTTCCTCCATGGAACCTTCCCTGACCCGTCCACCCCATAATGATTCTTCCATCCTTTGGCCTTTGGGGGGAAGGATGAGGTTGAAACGGACATTTGTGAGCCCCTTCCGTGTGCCTACTGTCTCCTTACACATACCATCCCTCATGATCAAGGTTTGCTTTTTCCCAGAAGAGGAAATCGGCTGGGAGAGGCTCACGTGGCCAGGAAGACGTGGGGAGCGTCCTCCTGATCCAACATGTAGAGGGTGCCAGGGAGGTGCCTCACCTGTGAGTCCGTCCCATCACCCCAACGACTGCGGGGACCCCTCTGGACAGGCCTGACTCACCTGTAGCTCCAAAAGTACTTCACCCAGTGGGAAGGACACAGCACGGGAAAAAAGTCACATGGCGGGGGCGGGGGGGGGGTTTCATTAAGAAACTTACTTTCTCTAGAGCGGTTTGGGTTCACCTGCCAAATTGATCTGAAAGTACGGAGTGTTCTCAAATACTCTGTTCCCACACAGGCACACCTTCCCCACTGTCGTCGCCCTGGCACCATATTAGTGCATTTGTGACAACGGATGAGCCCACGCTGACCCATCATTATCCCCCAGAGCCCGCGCTTTCCATCAAGGCGCCCTACGGTGTGGTGCGGTCTGCGGTTTCGACAAATGGAGACGGCTATGGATCTACCTTTTTGGCGTCACTCGGAGCGTGTCACTGCCCTAAAAATCCTCTGTGCCCCACCGATTCATCCCTCCTGCCCTCCCTGTCTCCTCCTGGCCCCATAGCTCCTTTCCTTTCAGTGCTGGCTGACCGTCCACAGTCTGGCTGGGCCACGGGTTCATCCATTCACCTACGGGCCGAAGAAGATCCGCGGCGCTTCCGGGTTTTGGCAATGGTGAATAAAGCCGCTACAAGCTGTGTCTGTGTGCACACAAGGTTTCTGCGTGGGCCTAAGCTTCCAACTCCTCTGGGGGAAGACCAGGGAGCACGATTTCTGCATGGCACGGGAAGGGTATGTTCAGTTTCGCAGAAACCGCCGAACTGTCTTCCAAAGTGGTCGCAGCATTCCGCACGCCCACCAGCCTTGAGCCAGAGCTCCTGCTACTCCGCGTCCCCGCCAGCGTCAGGCGTTGTCGGCGCTCTGGATTCGCGTCCTTCTGGTAGGTGTGGAGCGATCCCTCGTGGTTGTTTCCATTGGCATCTCCCCGGTGACATACGACGTGGAGCATCTTTCCATGTGCTTATCTGTCATGTCTGCAAAGGTCGTTGGCCCATTTTTTTTTAATGTCTATTTCTTTTGAGAGACAGAGGGAAACAGCGTGTGCGAGTAGGGGAGGAGCAGAGAGAGAGGGAGACAGAGAACCTCAAGCAGGCAGCACAGAGCCAGGCACGGGGCTCAATCCCACAAATGGTGAGATCATGGCCTGAGACGAAACCGAGAGTCTGATGCTCAACTGACTGAGCCACCCAGGCGCCCTGCCCCCCCCATCTTTTTTTTAATATTTATTTAGTTTTCACACACACACACACACACACACACACACACACACACAGTGCAGCAGGGGTGGGGCAGAAAGAGAGGGAGACACAGATTCTGAAGCAGGCTCCAGGCCCTGAGCTGTCAGCACAGAGCCCAACGCGGGGCTCGAACTCATGGACCTCAAGATCATGCATGACCTGAGCTACACTCAAGACGCTTAACCGACTGAGCCACTTAGGCGCCCCAGCCGGCCCATCTTTTAATCAAGTTGTTGCTTTTGTTATAGTTGAGTTTAAAGAGTTCTCTGTGTATTTTGGGTAATAGCCCTTTATCATGTGCATACACTAGATCCATCAAGGTCCCAGTAGAAAACAGACTGGACACTCGAGCTGGGACCTTAAAGAGGCCTATTAAAGAGACTGTGAACAGGATATGGGCCGAGTTGCAGAAGACCCACAGGGGGTGGTGACGAGACCAGCACCAGCCAGAGGAGGGGCCAAGGCCAGCCTGGGCTGGGGGGAAAGGAGAGGGGACAGCGGCCTGAGCCCAGCTGCAGGAGGCAGGGCATCAGCCCCCACAGGTGTCCACATCCTAATCCCCGGAACCTGTAACTATGTTACATCCTGGAGGTCACATTACACCTTCTGCCACATCACACGGCAAGGGGAGGGCTGCGGTGCAGTCAGGGTTGCTGGCTGGCTGGGCTTAAAATGGGGAGGCTGTTCCGGATTATCTCCAAACAACCACCTGAATAGTTGCCCCAGGCCCCTCTTCTCCTGCTTGGCCACTGCAGAGCTTGGAGCATGCCTGACGCCCCTGCCTGTCCCCGCAGTCTCTGTGTGCATCCAGGTGGGCCCGATACAATCACAGGGTCTTTAAAAGAAGAAGCGGAGGCAGAAGATAGGCAGAAAGGACAACATGGGAGAGATGTGTGGCACGACTTTGCTGACTTTGAAAAGGAGACCACAACTGAATGACGCTGACAGCCTGCAGAACCTGGAAGGCAAGGACACAGGGTCCCCGCTAGGGCTTCCAGAAGGCACGCACCCTGCCAGCACCTTGATGTTAGCCCCACCACACCTGTACCAGACTTCTGCTCTAGTGCAGCGGAAGGTAATGAATCCGCATCGCCTGAAGCCGCTACGTTGCCTGTCATTTGTTACAGCAGACATGGAAGACGAGTGCACTAGGTAGCTGGAAGAGGTCCCCCTTCAGGACCTTTGGTTGAGGGCGCCAAGGGTGTCATCCAGTGCGTGGTAATCCAGCAGGGAGGAAAGGAGGAACAAATACCTTCAACTCTCTCCTCCCACTTTCTCATTGTCCACCACTGGCTGGACCCAAGTGGAGGCCGGAGAGCTCAGAGCAGAGAAGAATGAATAACAGATATAGAAAGGCGGATCTGAGAGGAAGATCTGGTGTGTGTGTGTGTGTGTGTGTGTGCATATACGTGCGCGCACACACACCTGCCTACCTGTCCCTCTGTCCCTGTCTCTCTCTGTCACACACACACACACATCCTACCATGACTCAATCCTGACTCAAAGGCATTAACTCTTTTTTTTCAAGGTTCGAGTAGCCAATCATCTCTCCAGGTCACTGGTTGGCGTTGGGATCAAAAGCTGCATAAAGATTGGAAGCTGTGTTAGCACAACAAAGTACCAAAACGGGGGGGGGGGGGGCGGCGCCGCTTAAGCAATAGAATTCAGTGTCTCACAGTTCTGGAGGCTGGAAGTCCAAGATCAAGGTGCCAGCCGGTCTCGCCCCTGCTGCGAACTCTCTTCCTGGCTGGCAGACAGTTTCCTTCTCACCATGTCCTCAGATGGCAGAGAGAGGAGCTCTCTAGTCCCTCCCCATAGAAGGACGCTAGTCCTGTGGGATCAGGGCTCCACCCTTCTGACCTCATTCAACCCTAATTACTTCCTTACTCCTAATATAGCCGCATGAGGGCTTAGGGCTGCAGCATATGAATTGGCGGAAGGGGGGCCGTGCACAAAGCAGTCCGTAGCAGAAGCCCTTTTGAGGGTGTCTTGTATGTAACAGGCAAGACAGTCAGGAACCTGGGCGCACAAAGCAAGCAAAGGGCCAGGAAGCCTTGTTACTACTTTACATGATTGACCAGACGGCCCCAAACCGTATCTCTCCATCTCGGCATCCCTGGGCTCAGAACTGCTGCTTTTCCACAATGTCCACAACTTCCATTCCACACGCCTGGCGGCACCCTCTAACACTGAGTGGTTCTGAGTTATTTGCTGCATGATTCGCGGTGGAGTGATTGAGCCTGGTCTGTGGTTAAACACGAGAGCCAAGATTTTGATTCCAGTGTAGACGGTGGAGCGTATCAGGGATCAGTCTTCCAACAGACTGAAACCAGTCCTAACGCAAAGGGCGTTTTGTTTTTATTCAGAGGCAAAAATCAGGTTCATGTGGGTATGAAGGAAGCAAGTTCTAGGCCCAGAGCATCCATACATAGACATACTCTCTGAAAAGAGTTTCAGGTTAGGGGAATCAACGAATGAGATTTACAAGCAGAGACCCCAGTGAAGACAGAAATTGCAAGCCCTCTATACTGGCCACAGGGGGAACCCACGGGGTGGGTCACCGGGGCGGATTCTTCCTCACTTCCACATTAAATGCATTTTGCAATCCACCTCTGACCTGGCGGGAGAGTCTCATCCCTAGAAGACACCGAGGGAAGTCTCCTGTTTCTACATGACAGAGGATGCTTACCTAGGACTGTCCTAAAAAGGCAACAATACCTCCTTCACATCTTTGACACCCCTTCCCGGGAAACGGACTCACTCCCACCAGCACGCAAGCGAAAAACCAGAAGCTGCCTCTTTTGTCTTTGAGCTTTCCTACCACGTAAGAGTTAAAGGTTTAACGCTCACAAGTGAAAGCGTGCGGACTCCAGTCCTGAAGACTCCTAGCTGCTCGGTGCTCTCACACAAAGGAGCACGAGACTGATGGCTTGCCTGAGACATACAGCTAGTGAGTGGCAGAGCCGAGACTCATATCCGTGACTCCTGATCCCAAGCGCCTTGTCCCCTCCGCTATTCCAGCCCAGACCTTGGGAGCCTGAGTACTTGGAGAATTCCTCCAAAGGGGAGCAGGAACTGGCCTTTTCCAGATCCTACCGGCCTTATTGCACTACACAAAACCCAGGAAAGAATTAAAAATTAATACAGATTTTTTTGCTCAAAGAAAAGCTGTCTAAAACTGGTATGTACGGAATCCTTGCTGTAGACTGAATTGCATCCCCCCCCCAAATCCATTTGTTGAAGCTTTAGCCCACAATGTGACCACATGATTATGTAACTGGAAAGATAAAACTGTCACCGAGCCATAACAATTTTAGCAAAGACAGAAACATCAGGAGACCTGGGTTTGGCTCCAGCAAGCATCAGGGGTTCTGAGTGCGAGCTAAGTAAGGGCCTTTTCAAGTTCTGGCACTTACGAGGGTGAAGGAGAGAGACTCATGAAAGGTTTGCAAACACGGTAACACTTCTTTTCACTTCCTCCCCACTCTACGGGAATGACATGCTAAAAGGGCTGGGAAAGCCTGATACCCCAAGGACGCATCTCACAGTGACAGAGGGATTGCTGAAGGATATTAGTGCGCCGTTCAGACGGCCCTTTAGCCAGAAAAGTAACAGCTGTAAAAGTTCTGGAAAGTCCTTGGCCACCCGTCTCCGGAGCTGCACACACAGCAGCCGCCCAGCAAGCGGGCCTAGGTGAGTGGTACCGCGGGATGCCTATTTACTGCTACGGGTTCGGAGCCCTCGCACAGACCGGCTCGTCTAATCCTCACAGAGATTCTGCAGTGTAGATAATATATTTTAAATGCAGAAATGGGTTGAGCAGGTTTAAAAAAAAACACAAAACTTGCCCCAAGTCACCCATCCGGTAAGTGGGGCCCAACCCCTCCGTATCACCTTCCACCCAGCACAGGGCTCCCTGGGTTGAACGGAGCGGAGAAATGTAAACGCACCGAACGGGCTCACGCTCGCTGTCCGGTCCGGTCCGGTCCGGTCCGGTGTTGGCTCAGGGACGCCCTTGGCGGGGGCGGGTCCTCCCATTCCGGAGGTTCCGGGAGAACAGGAGGCGTTCGCTCTCCTCCCTGGGCAGCTGGCCCGGTCTCGGCGCAGGGAGAGGGAGGGAGCGCTGGCCCCGGGGGAGGAATGGAGAGCAGCAGCCCGAGTCCCAGCCCCGGCCCTGCGCTGGGCCTGGACGCCCGGCTGGGTGTGGACACGCGCCTCTGGGCCAAGGTGCTGTTCGCCGCTCTCTGCTCGCTCATCTTGGCGCTGGGCGCGGCGGGCAGTGCGCTGTCCGTGCGCGTGGTGCTGAAGGGGCGCGCCGGGCCCCCGGGGCGCCTGCGCTACCACGTATTCAGCCTGGCGGTCTCGGCGCTGCCGCTGTGGCCGGTGGGTGTGCCCGTGGAGCTCTTCAACTTCGTGTCGTTCCAC